GTGGTGGTGGAGGTGGAGGTGGAGGAGATGGTGGTGATGGAGGAGGAAGTAGTGGTGGTGGTGATGGAGGAGGAGGTGGTGGTGGTGATGGAGGAGGAGGTAGTGGTGGAGGAGATAGTGGTGGAGGTGGAGGTGGTGGAGGTGGAGGAGGTAGTGGTGGTGGTGGAGGAGATAGTGGTGGAGGTGGAGGTGGAGGAGGAGGAGGAGGAGGTAGTGGTGGTGATGGAGGAGGTGGTAGTGGTGGTGATGGAGGAGGAGGTAGTGGTAGTGGTGGTGGTGGTGGTGGAGGTGGAGGAGGAGGAGGTGGTGATGATTTGAGAAGGGCCTATGCCTTTAATGAGGGGCCGCCATATTGCAGGGAAATGGGGCGGAGTTGGCGCAGGCGCAGTGCGGCCGCCGTTGCACAAACACCATGAGGGGTGCGGAGCTCGAGCTGCTGCTCCTGGTCCGAGTTTAAAGGAGAAAGAAAACAAGCGTCGTGCGGAGCCGAGTTGAAAATCAGCGGCGGAGCCGGTGCGGGCCTCTCTTCCACCCCCCCCCCCCCCCCCCCCCTACTGGGGGGAGGGAAACACCGGGACCGATGAACCTGGCCAGTCAGAGCGGGGAGGGCGGCAGCAGCCAGCTCCTGTTCGCCAACTTCAACCAGGACACCACGTAAGGAGGGCCCGGGGTCGGGGGAACTACGGCTGGGCAGGGCAAAGTAAGCCCGGGGATCTGCGGCCTACGCTGACCAGGCAAGCACCGCCAGGGCTGGCGATCAGCTCCTGTCATCCTCCTTGCTGTCCCTCCTCCTTGTTGACATTTTTTTGAGAAAAAAATTATTTGGCCTCGCGAACGGCTGCTCAGATCATCAGCGGGTGATTTAAAATCTGTTAAAAGCCAGGCATTGGGAAACACTTAACCCCCCCCCCCCCCCCAAAACGCGATGCAGTTTATTTTTAAAGTGAGATGCAACAGAAGGAAATGTCAGGTTTGTATGTGGTTGCCAGATCCCAAGCTGCAGCATCCAGTTTAAAGGGACACTTCCTGCGTTTTTTTTAAAGAAAGACAACTGTTTGGAAACCGCCTTTGCATTTGTTCTAATGTTGTCTTGCATAACTAGTTTGGCGTGATTTGAGTAATGTGTTAGCACAAGTTTCTTTTTTCTAATTACACAAGGGTACTGTTAGTGTTTGTACCTACGGTAGTTTATGAATATGTTTCATCTTGTATAATTCAGGTTCACTCGAGTTGCTGGAAGGGCAGTACAATGTTGGGACGGAAGTACATTTTCAGTATGGACTAAATCTTGCAAGGTTGCTGTATAGCAACTGTTCGTATTTTCATGTCTTTTCTCTCTCACGTTGAGTGCAATGTTTCAGCCCTTCACATGTAATGGATTATCAAACAGTATTATCAGGACAAAAGGACTTGGCCGCTGCTAAGTTTTAATTCTAGCATGTCTAGGTTGAGATTCATTGTGTTAAATCAGGCCTCATATACAAAACCAGATTCACTGGTGTCCAATGATGATAATATGTTCCCATGCTAGACTATTAATCCTGAGGATCATTGTGTAGACAGTAGGATGAGGATGAATTTGTCTGCGTTTCTTTCAAAGTAGGAGATCTGTTTGCTCTGATTTTCTTGAAAGTGTGTTGATCAGGGAAAAATTTATTCCAAGAGTGCTTCAACTTCATGGCACTTTTACAACTGGAAGTAATTTCAGATGATTATCAATAGGGTGAACTGTCACAGCTCAGAATTGTGTGGTCTGCATAGTTTGGAATAGTACAAATGAGATCAGCTGTGGTGGCCTAATCACCTTACTTTCTCCAAACCACAACTCATTTGGATTGTTCAGAGATAGTAAGAACTGCCGATGCTGGAGTCAGAGATAACACAATGTGGAGCTGGGGGAGCACAGCGGGGCAGGCAGCATCAGAGGACCAGGAAAGTTGACGTTTCGGGTTGAACATCAACTTTCCTGCTCCTCTGATGCTGCTTGGCCTGCTGTGCTCCTCTAGCTCCACATTGTGTTATCTCATTTTGATTGTTGTTGCTTGCAGCTGTAACTAAACTTAGCCTTGTTCTCGGAAGGTTCACATGGATTCCTGTGTCAGAAAAAAAATTATTTGAAGCTAATGATCCAACCCCTCGTATCCTTTCATAACCTTGCTGGACTGAGCCATAAACCACGGTGCATCTTTTCCAATCTTTTCACTTTGTCTATGCTTCTCTTCTCACTTTTAGACGGCCCCTGACATTTTCTTCTCTGAAAACACCTACCTTAGAACATCTGTGTTTTTAAAAGTGTCCTAAAGCCAATCCTTTTTTCACTGTACCCCCTCCCATTCCTCAGACGACATGTCCATCCTGGGCCTCCTGCAGTGCCACAACGATGCCACCCGAAGGTTGCAGGAACAGCAACTCATATTCCGCTTGGGAACCCTGCAGCCCAATGGTATCAATGTGGATTTCACAAGCTTCAAAATCTCCCCTCCCCCTACCGCATCCCAAAACCAGTCCAGCTCGTCCCCGCCTCCCTAACCTGTTCTTCCTCCCACCTATCCCCCCCTCCCACCTCAAGCCGCACCCCCATCTTCTACCGACTAGCCTCATCCTGCCCCCTTGACCTGTCCGTCCTCCCTGGACTGACCTATCCCCTCCCTAACTCCCCACCTACACTCACCTTTACTGGCTCCATCCCTGCCTCTTCGACCTGTTTGTTTCCTCTCCACCTATCCTCTCCTCTATCCGCCTCCCACTCTCTCCCTATTTATTTCAGAACCCCCTTCCCCTCCCCCTTTGCTGATGAAGGGTCTAGGCCTGAAACGTCAGCCTTTCTGCTCCTATGATGCTGCTTGGCCTGCTGTGTTCATCCAGCCCTGCACCTTGTTGTCTCCTTTTTTCACGTGTAATTTGTTCCCTTGAATCTTTTTCATTCCCTTTGCAAGTGGTTCCTGAGTCTCAAAGGTTTAGGAAAGTTCTGAATTTGGGCAATGTTTTCTGATTTCCTTGACTGATTTTTATATGCTGTATTATTTCTATTATGATTGGATAGGAGCCTCCAGCTATGTTGAGGACATTGTCCATTTTGTGCTTAAATGGTTGTACACCCACAGAGGATATTTTCTCTGGTGATGTATTTGTCAAGTGATGATTTTGAGCTTCTGTGACTGCTCCTGTTCTTTGTGTTGAACTCAGCTGCTAGATTTTCATTACTCCAGGTCAAATGTTATTGCTTCCCTCCCAGATATCCAGCAAATCATTGGCGGCCAATAGTGCTTCTGTTTAGCTTGGGCTCATATGAGCATTGAAGTGTTTCTGCCACTTTTTAAACTGATGAAATGTTGAATGGACCAAGTATCCATTTTTAAAAAAAAATAGATATGCTAGTTTAATTACATCAGATACCTGAGTTTGAACTCGGTTTAAACTGATGAATTAAAAGTTCCTATCACTTGTAATTAATGTGAACAAAATACACTCTCGTAGGCTTCAATCAGCATCTCATTAGGTGAATATTCACATCATAAGATGATTCATGTAATTTTACTAATTTGGCTGAAACATTTTATTTAGACAATATGACAGCGTACTTATCCAATATGGAAATATACAACTTCACGCTGATGTAGTAGGGATACATCACCTTGCATTGGGCTGTTATTGAACAGAGAAGAAGAGGGTTTTACATCCATACCACAATGCCTGAGAACTGCTTGACATTCTCACTGACAGAAGTCACACGACACCAGGTTATAGTCCAATAGGGTTATTTGGAATCACACAAGTTTTTGGAGCACAGCCCCTTCATCAGGGACAGTGAGAGTTTCAGAAATATGTTTCATAATCTGCTGTGCCATAGTGGTGTAAATGAAGACTTCATTTTTTTAACTCCCATATAGTCAAGATACAATTCCATTCTCCATCCAGCTGGGTCTTGCTAGTTCTTCAGAGGGAGAAAGCTATAAGGAGAGTTCTTCCCATGTGCTGTTGCACATCTTAGTGGCAGGTATGGAACAAATACCTCAAGGAGTGGAGAAAAGCATGCCCAACTGTTTTTTTAGCCGCAAGTTGACAGTGTCTTGGGACTTTGAGAGGGGAAAAAAGTGTAATGTCAGTTGATAAAACCTCAGCGGTTGCAAGCTGTGCTCTGACAGCAAGAGAGATTTATCCTTTACAGATTTTGAGGCTTGCTGTTATTGATCAGTTCTCCTTTAATGAAATATTTTATATGTGTGGGAAAGGTTAACCTATAGCTATATTATAAGATACATTTTGAAGTAAGCATGAAACTGTTTTCAGATGATTCCTCAGTGATAAAGGGAAAATGAAAGTGTTGTACACAAAGCTTAAAATATCCTACAATTCCCTTGTTTGAAGTGTTATGCTGAGTTTGCAAACCTGATGGTGATTCTGGGCAATGTGAAGAAGTCCTGTACCGGTGATTAATTGATCATAGCCTTATGATTATTGGAGAAAAGAATCTGAATTAACCATTCAGGAGTGGCTGCTGTTTATGGCTATGTGCTTTGTTCCCAGATGTTGCAAAATTGCTGTTGAATGCAAATGGGCAAGTTGTTTGCTTCTCAAGTTATAGTCTGGCTGATTTTTAAAATATTTTTGTCATTTCCTTTGTGGTTTGATTTAAAAGTTCAATATTGAGGACTTGATGTGCTTGTCCTCAAGCCAAATCACAGTCTCCAAACATATTTTTGTGTTTAGTCAGGTGGGCAATTAGGCCACCTGTTATAAGTATAGATGTTGTACTGCAAACTCTTTTTAGTTTTATTTTCATGTCTATAATTTATATCTGTCCTGTGTCATGCACCAGTACCCAGTTGAGAAGGTGAGCAATCTGTTTGGCGGAATCTGTCAGATGTCACTTTTGAAACACAGAAATAAGTGTTGTAGTAACTTGTTTTTCTTTTCTTTTCCTCAACTCCATAGCGAGTGCATCATAAACCCCAAGGAATTGTGACGCTGTACAAACCTGATTTATGCATTTGGTGTCTGAGTAGATCACATTGTTTTACTCTGGGGATCATGATCGTTGAAAACTGGAGGGTAAAATAGCTCTGTTATGCACGGTGTAACTGTGGTATTGTAGATATTTCTAACTCCTCATTTCTAAGCACTATCATCATTAATCAGAAACTTTGCACAGATATGAAGTGAATAAAGATAGAATTTGAATTCACATAATGTCTTTCATGATCTTGGCGAAAATGTTTTAGGATCAATAAAATTGCTGTTTTTTTTTTCAGTGTAGTTTCCACTGGCATGTGGGTAAATGTGGCAGATAGGGCTGTGCTGCATACAACCTGTGAACAATGATGAAGTGATCTGTTTTTGCTGAAGTTAAAATTATGACACATGTCTGAGTTATTTAAACAGCTGTGGATATTTGCTGGGCTTGGAATGGAGGGGAAGATGAGAGATTGCTTTCAAAGAATCTATGTACAACGTTATATTTGAGATGTTGATATCTGAACAAGCCACTTTTGTCCACCTTGGCGGTGGGTCCCTTAAAGCACATGCAAACCCCCCAAAAAAAACTGAGCTGATCCATCAGATCAGCTGCACCACGTCACGCTTCTCCAAACTGTGGCAGCAACTGTTTGACAGCAAAAACCTCGGCAAGTCAATTAAGGTCCAATTACAGAACA